AAATAAATAAATAAATAAATAAATAAATAAATAACAATACCTACAGACCAGGGAACCTGTATATATGTTAAAACATGCAGGCCAAGGAACCACTTTAAGAAATACATACCTTTAGATCAAAATCAGAATCTTCTGAACCGGAATTGAGATTTTTCTCATAATAAATCTAAAAAATAGAACATCTTTATCAGAATAATACAATGTCCTGGCAGATAAAACTGCTACATTGTGATGTAAATAGCATTCTTATATAACTATTACATAAAGGTATAAATAAACATTCAGCTTACCGGTTTATTCTTCTCTCTGGAGTTACATTTCGTTAAGTGGTGTTTTAACTGATCCTCATAAATAGAGCTGTAAATCAAAGCAAGTACATTCATATGTAAAAAGCAAACCTGTGATTAACGACCACTCAAGGTATAATCAAATCTGTGTACAGCGACCATCCAAGGTAGAATAAAAACTGTGTATAGTGACCATCCAAGGTAGAAAAAAATCTGTGTACAGCGACCACCCCAAGGCAGAATAAAAACTGTGTATAGTGACCACCCAAGGTAAAATCAAACCTATGTATAGCGACCACCCAAGGTACAATCAAACCTGTGTATAGTGACGACCCAAGGTACAATCAAACCTGTGTATAGCCACTACCCAAAGTGCAATCAAACCTGTGTTTAGCGTCCACACGAGGTACAATAAAACCCGTGTGTACTGCAAAATTCATTATTTAAGCTGGCATTTATTTTCACTGAATCATTCCTTCATTGAAATTAGTGAATATAAATTCAAAGCAAAAATAAAATATTTTGCATTAGCAACCACCCAAGATAAAATCAAATCAGTGTATAGCATGTATAGTGACCACCTAAGGTACAATCAAACCTGTGTATAGTGACTAAAGGTACAATCAAACCTGTGTATAGTGACCACCAAAGGTACAATCAAACCTGTGTATAGTGACCACCAAAGGTACAATCAAACCTGTGTATAGTGACCACCTAAGGTACAATCAAGAAATGGGAACAGTGATATAATGTTTAGTTGAAGAGATGTCTTTAATCTACATCAGCTAATACAATAGTCTGCTGTCTATATGTATATCTTCAGGTGTTTTTCTAGAAAAAATGAACAAGAGGGAGCACACACAAGCGAGGGAGTGAAGCGAGAGTAGCAACAACATGGCGGATCAACCTGGAAACACCATATCGGAAGGTTTCTGCATCGTTTTAACGGTGTATCTATCGCCATTAAAATATTTTTGGAATAATTTTAGTGTAGTTGGTGTCCAGACACATTGTCAGCTGCTGTTGCTGAGAAGTTTTCAAGGAGAAAAATATATTTGAGAAAGATTTCATGTTGTATGGCAGCACACAAGTGCGTGGCTCAAGAAATATATTTATAACTTGAAAGTTCAATCGGCAATTCGGCCAGCCGAGAGTATCAGGGCGCTGAGCCCCTCTTCATCAGTTTAGAAAAACCCCTGTATCTTAAAATAACTTCATTTCAAGTATGATTTGACAAGTCTACTTTCAGAAAAAACCTAAGATATAAGTGAAAAGTAATATGACTAAGGAATACATGCACATACTATGTTGTGATGTGTTGACTCAGGAACAAACAAAACATCAAAGAAACTTTCACGTTTAACTTCTTGTTTATTCTGCCATTTTTAGTTACACCAATGACACTAGTTTTTGCATATCAATACACTCGGATGACATATAACACCATTACAAAAGTATGTATTCTGAAGCATACAATAAAGTAGTCTCAAAAACGTCATGTATATATTAATCTGACTTACTGTTTGGGATCAAGAGGGCATTGAATCCTTTTTCTGTTACTCTCAGCCTGAAAATAAAATAAAGAAATAGCTCACTATAGTTTCAAAATAGCTGTTCACGGAAAAGTCTGATTTAAGGGTACATTAGATATGCACTTCTAATAGGACAAATATGGTAAATATAAAAACTTAACGTGAATAGTGAATTAATTTCTGAATCTTGACTGGCGTAAGAGGTTACCTATTTTAAAACCTGATGGGTGGAGGACTAAAAAACAATTTGATGATTATGAAGAGAGAAAATAAAAGTTTCCAAAATGGCTGATTAATATAAAAAAAACATTTCTTTTTTTTAAAACGATATACTAAGTAAATAAAATTACTTGTGGTGTGTCAAAAAAATATTTGAAAAAAAAAAAGATAAAAAAAAAATCATTCCTTCAGACCTCCCCAAAATTGCTAGTGTGAGCAAATATATACCTGTATTTTAATTATTAAATTGACATGACCTTAAATTGTTTAATTGTTTTTATTTTATAGTGTATTCAAGCAAAACAAAACTGGGGGGAAATAATAATAAATAGACAGAGAAAGTCTACTCAACCAGTTGTGACTTGTAGATCAATAATTATTTAAAGGACTCCCTCTATACTGTATTTTTCTTCTTTTGATTTATTGTACCATATGCCTGAGGTCATTGTACTGAATAAACTCGTATCAGATCATAATAATAAATAGTACCAGAGGTACAAATATGTACTGATTATTTAGATTTTCAGCCCTCGAGTGACATACATTACATTAGCCCTGCGTAAATGTACTGCGTGTCGGGGGGGGGGGTAACATATGGACATGCATTGCGATTTAGTTCTCCCGGTCAACACAGCGCTACAGGTCTCACACCACTAATTAACCAATGGCTGCTCGTAGCCTAGCAAGAACCAATGAAATTTTTTAAATATTTTTTTTCTCAGGTGCTCCCTGTTTGAGGGCGTAATCACCTGGGTCAGAGGTGAGACCAACATGTGGTTTTTTGTTTACTACTTAGCGGCTGTGTACCTGTGGGTTTATTCTGTGTGTGTTTGGATGTTCTAATCTTGGTGTTTTTCCGTGATTTCTCTTGGTGCAATCCAAATACAGTAGGTGTGTCTTGTTTACCTGAGATTTGCAAGAGTTTGAGCTGGCCAACATGTTAGTTTTTTTCATATGGTTGATTACTGGCATGTTGATTTCCCATTTTTGAGCCATATTTTCAACTTTCTTCGTCATTTTCATACAGCAATCTCGTCATATGTTAACATTGTCGTCTATGGAAATTCAATTAGTGGTATGAGCCCTATACTAGGTGAGGCTAACCTCAGACTAGTAATACAACAGACTCACAACGGCTATTGTTTAAGGTGTTAATCGGCTTAATTGTACATGCTATGCGTGCCACACTCTGTAGCATTGGCATAGACACCATCGAAGTTTACCGAACACTGGATATTCTGCACACTTCGCGCTTCTTCGGAAATTGCGCATTTCTTTGTAAAAAGGATCC